TACGATCCAAAAACTACAAAATATATACAGGTCCGTATTTAAAAATTCAAAGATGGGGGTGGCCCAAGTCAGATGATACTCTGTATAAAAGATTCATGGATATATTCTGAGAGCCCACATCAAGTGCCATTAGCAAAATGTGAACAGAGTTTCAATATGTTTGCGAATAAAGAAGATATAGGATTTTTTGGTTTTTCCTGTATATCTCCAGAACCAAAAGAGCTATATTCGATTTCTTCACATCATTGAATAGGTCTCTTAAATACGTAACTTTGCCATACTTTAACCGACACTCTATCTCTTATCGTTTACGAGATCCCCATGTACAGAACCAAATTTGAATAGCCCTGTACATAGCAACAAAAAATATTTGTTATTACCAAGAAATATACACATTATTACACATCGTGCATACACAGTTTTGAGAACAAATTGATAGTTTATCTGAAAAATTTCTAGACATTTGTTCATAATAAGAATAATACCACAAGAATTCCGAGCGAAATGGTTAATGGGGGGTATCCTGTAATAACCCAAAATTAATTGTTAACGCTTTCAGCATCAGGTATTTTTAACGCTTATGTATTACATGGTATCGAAAAAGATGACGTTGTTTTCAACTTCAAGTTTGATAGATATTAGTGTAGGATTGATAACGGAGATGAAAATAGAAGCTGGAATGAAATTAAAAAACAGAATGATCTCAGGTCCAGAAAAAAATCCTTCGTTCCTAGTGAAAGACTGTATGAAAGATTAGTTCATCCCCTACAAATCTTTTTCAACCTTATTTTAAGTCTGTTAAGTCTGTTTTTTCTGAAGTCTGGAAAACTACCAATGTTTGGCCAGTACACAAAGCTCAAGATCGAAATGAAATCAGTGATCACAGACGTATCTCAATCCTCAACAACTTTAACAAACTTCTAGAAACAACATTGTATATCCGTATCTATCGATCCTCTCGACATATAATATATGATAATCAACATAGTTTTATGAATTCTATGTCCAAAATTATGAATCCTGAAATTCCTCAGTTTCAGAATAATTGGAATTTATCCCGCACGAAATTGGAATTACTCTGATCTGCTTTATGAATTCGAATTTGTATCATTAGGGAAACGAAAAAATCCGGCATCTCTCTTATTTTTTATAATTTATTGAATGCACTACTATCAGTAATCGAAATTTTTGTTCCACGACTACCATGTAGGCATAATAATACTTTTTTATGCAAAAGGGCCCAAAGAAACTTGATGTTGAAATCACCAATTAACTATTTGTGTCGCAATGCAAACAAGTTCTCTAATATCGATATTTTTTGTTGCAGCTTACGAAATCAAAAATAAATCTCGTGCAACTCCATAATCAATGAGTATAGAAACGTTCACAATCTTTTATTTTATGTTTTTTCTTTTGCCAATACTATACATTTTGACGAATTGGTTAAGGCACGAGTAGCTGGCTTTTTCAGAAGTTTATTCATCTTGATGATTCACCGATGAATCATTTTTCGTATAAAAAAGGAGTCAAAATCAGTCTTTTGATTGTGTCGAGAAGAGATACAGACGTATCAAGAAAATGGATATTTCGAAATGAATTTTGAAAAATTCAACTCTTCCAACATTCCTGCACTGTAGAATCTGGTAAATTCCTACCGAAAACAACTACTTTTTCGGCTGATATCACGATGGACTTTGAGAGGAGATAATCTCACATTTGCTTGCAATGTGTTTCGGTTGCCATACGAAACCTTTATCTGAGAGGACGATTTTTTAACTAGTACCAGCTCCATCTCGTGACCGAAACCGGTCTATACGTAGTCTACTCTTTAACTTCAGCGAAAACTTGGGCTGGACTTGTTGAGACACTTACATAAATTTCTGTCAAATATAATCCAATGTACATCGTGATATTAGCCGGGAAAGTAATTGTTTTTCACCATGCATTCTGCAGATTGTACAGTTGTAGAGATACGAAGGTTTTAAGTATTAGTTCGAAATATTTATTTTCTTATTATTATAAAGGATTTCCTATGGTTAATTTTTTAAAAAATATTATGTGAAGTTATAATTTTATAAAGAAGTAGCGGTTGTGTAAAGCATCTGGGAATATTCATAAAAACTGCTAATGAGATGAGTCCTCTGAAATTGAAATGAAATTGATGTCTTTTGGTTTCGTTCGTTGAAATGTTCTTCAGTCGAGTCTCGCAAGCTGAGGATTTGCGAAGACCGTGGATAATCTACACATTTTCAGAAATGTGTAGATTATTGATTTTCGCTTTCAATTCTTCCATATTAATACAAAAATGTGAAAACCTTTGTATCTCTTCTTGATACAGTTATCAGACTGATTTTGACTCCTTTTTAATATATAAAATGGGAATCAGAACAAGTGCATACTATATATTTTTGGATTTAACCTGATTAAGAAACGAAATGACACAATTAATGACTGAGCAAATGAAATTTTCTACCTGGTCCAGTTGTGTGAAGTGATATTCATATAAATAGCTTGAAAAACCATCCCGTTGTGTAGTAATATTGATTCTGCCTCTCGAGTTTTTCCTCCAAGTAGAGCCAACTGAGACTTCTGTTCTGCTTTTGATGATAAGGACTAAACAAAAAACATATTTTATATGAATAGATATAGAAGATATTCTACTCAGCGTAATTTAGAACCATATTTTGATACCAGTGAAACACGTTCAAAACAACATACCTACAACTCAAAACGTTTGTGTAGGATATAAAGAATCACGTTCACCCTATTAATGGCAGTGATTATTAAAATAATTTAAAAAATCTGTTTTAAAATCTGTTTTTCCGTTAACCAGCTGTCGCACCCCTACGAACGACAACCTCAGAAGTCGAAACTTTTGCGAGCTAAGGATTAACTAGGTCTTACCTTTTAACGTGTGATTTCTAACACGGGTTGGATGATAGCAGGTGAAAATCGACCGTCGACAAAGCACCCACGTCGAACAGCCTGGCTACCGACCGACCAATTGAAGATAACAATCATTTATGATTCGAAACATTGATGTCGGCACTTAATTCTACATATTCAAAATCAACATTATATACAATGTAACAATTTTATTAAGTAATTATATTTGTACGATTATCTGTATACGATTACAGAAATGCAGATAAATGCTCCTCAACCGGCTGAAAACATTAATGGATAAACATTGTTCCTAGATTATTTCAAAAATCATAATAATTATCTACTTAACTTTTCTGAACGCATTTAATTCGAGAAAAATTCGTGTTTCGATTTTGTTCAAATATTCCATACTCCTGACTGAGGGAACATTCGATAGAAGAAGGGACATCAATAGTACGGCCCCATTTTTCAACGGTAGAGTTATGAATAACTTATCATTAATCTAAATTTTACTGGCATAAATGGTGAATGCACAGGGGAATGTCCTTAATTCCCATTGAATTTCATTTTAGAGTGAACGTAGTGAAAGCATCTGAAATCATTAGCTTGTCCAATTCATGTAATTCCAGAAGAAATCAGGTGAATTCATTATGAAGTGATTTCACTGGAGATGAGAAATGATGCGACATTTTAGAGTTCCTGATGTTTGTCCTATATATAATTTGTTCTACTCCACGAAAGAAATTTTGTGAAATATATTAGATTTTTCTTCATTTTTAGTTGGAGTTTTCACTCTGATGCATCATCATTGATGGCAAATAAGATTTTGTCGAAATGTTGTGAAAATAATCCTAGTGAGGATTAAAAAACACATTACACGGATCGAAACTTGGAAAAACAGCTCATTATACTTTGTCCGTGAGAATCATCAAGTTGATATTTTAAACCTTTACGGGAAGAAGTGCCAAAACAAGCAGAAGAAGAAACCCAGGTAAATGACACCACCTATATCTATAAATTAAGCAAGAGAGTCCGAACAGTTCAGTCTAGTTCTAAACTCCAGACGTCACCAGAGAGAGTCATCAAGTTAACATATACCAGAAATTGGTTTAGTGTCTGTTGAAATGATAATTTTTTTAACGTAAAAAAACTGGAAATGACCTCCATTTTATTTTCGAACCAAGAAAGGACGATTTGTGTTCAGAATCCTCATTAGACCGTATACAGAATGCATTTTTTTGTCAAAATCAACATTTAGGTAGTCGAGTCAAAATGGAGTTTAGGGTGGAACTAATTTCCATAAAGATGGGGTTTGATTATTTGAGTTTATTACTCATATTTTCAAAATACTGAAAGTCTAGAAAAATTTGAGTGTGCGAAATGCGTTTTTTAGCCGCTATCTTGAATTTAAAAAATCATAGCATACAGGATTGAGATGGACAGTACAAAAATGATTACCAATATATTACAGAAAACTAATGAGCCTATTATAAGCCTATACTGTATGCAAACATATTGAAATTCCATTTTTTTCCAGGTAAATTTCCGAAGTTTTGACAAGTCCTAAGAAACTTAACATGGCAGATGTAAACTGTATCTTGGGCTCTGAAAGTGGAGGCGAAACTTCAAAGTTATCTGCAAAAAGTATCCAAGGAGTTATAGGTGCAAGTGCATTATGGTCAGCAAAGTTTCAATTCCGTTTGCTATTAGTCAATGACTTGCCAGCAGCAGATGCCGTTCACCACCAGGCATGCAGCGTACATTTTCGAAAAGGTGACCCGATCCCAAATAAATACAAAGATTATTCCCAAAACGAATTATGGTGCAAACTTCTTGGTCGTCCTGTGGAGAAAGCAAAGAATGATACTTTTAAAGTATTTAGGTTGTTTGAAGGGAATGATGAGCCCGCATGTGCCAAGCAGTTGGTTACTGTAATAAATGACTTTTTACCAGTTGGTAGTGAACCATGTACTCATAGCTACATGCTGCAAAAGCTTTTTCTGGATAAGCTTTCGGTTTTCCCCCACCAATTTGTTATTAATTTTCATACTTTAAGATCATTCTCTTGATCCTGTTCAGCATATTTTCGGTTCATTGATACCAGACACAATTTCTTATGAATTAAAAAAAAATCAAGATGGCGGCCAAAAATGCATTTCGCGCACTCACATTCTTCTGGACTTTTAATATGTTGAAGGGATATGAGAAATAAACCCAAAAAATCAAAACATGCCTTTGTGGAAATTAGTTTCACCTGTAGGAATTTATTTACGCAAATCTACTCTACTTATTGAGTTCCAACGAATATATGTAGGGGCACTTGCCTGATAACACTTTGAGGCAACTCTAGGAAACTTACAAAACATTTAAGAATCATCAGATCATCATTAAAATCAAGATTATTATTGATATGCTAACAGAGAGTTTTCTACTATACTCCTCAACATTTATACATCTTTAGTTTGTGTATTTTGTTTCAACGAATTTTGTCTTTGTTTCATGGTGATTGACAGTGTTTTATAGTGCATTTCATTAGTTCGGACTTCCATTGTCTAATATGATATAAATTGATTCGAAATACCAGAAAGAATCTGTAAAAAACTAAAATGGTAGGCAGAAAAATAACAATTACATTAAGCAAAAAAACTGAAATTACAGTGAAATAAAATACAAGCAACAACAAAAAAAAATTGAACTACAATCGTCTTCGGGTGATAACTGGACTTATTCCTCAGAGATCTGACTATTTATAAGTCATTCGAGTGCTTTCACATATCCTCTCTTCCCTCTCTTCGCTTCATCGGTTCTAGCGGAAGCTGACCGATTGGCGGGAGTTGGTCGTGTTCCGCTTGATTAGAGCTTTCCATATATTGCGTATCTCTACGCTAGCTTGGCTAAATGCGTTGTTGGACAACATATATGCGGCTTCTTTGAATTTTTTTCTAAACCAGTGTTCCTCCTTGTCCGAAAGCGATGATAATTTCACGTTATATGTCGACCGCACACTGAATACTGAGTCATGCGTTTGTCTGAGATACGGCTAGCGCTATGTGTTAGAGAGACGAAAAAAGTAAAGCCAGACATACTGGCACCGTTATGCGTTACATTACCAAGCGGTTTACCCTCCCATAAGAAGTAATCGGTTTTCTTCACAGACAATTCCGCTTTCTGCTTTGATAAGTTTGTTGGGTCCAAGACCACTATGTCTTGGACCAATCATGTCAATGGAATTGCAAAGGCTGCTCCTCAAAAGCTTGGAACACTGTTTCGAACCAAAAAACTGTACACGTTTCAGCAACTTTTGATGCTTTATAAAGCTCAGATCAGACCTTTTTTGGAGTATTGTTCTCATATATGGAGCTTCCCCCTCCCCTCAACATGCTCTGAAGTTGCTGGATTCCATCCAGAAAAGAGCCATCCGCCTGATTGGAGACGCGAACATCACGGGCAACCTTGATAGCCTGGAACATCGAAGAAAGGTTGGAGATTTGTCTCTCTTCGATAGATACTTTCACGGGAAGTGTTAAAGTCACTTTTGATTCCACCAAGAGCGGTACATATCAGAAATATGCGACGGACTGTTGTGGCTTCTCATCATTTTGAGATTCAACTCAGTAAACCTCGAACTTCACTGTTCCAGAACTCTTTCATTTGGAGAACTGCGTTTGTGTGGAATAAACTTCCCGAAAACATTTTTTGAATGGATTAGTCTTCAGCGATTCAAATCCAATTTGAATCGCTACTTTCGCACAAGCACCGCTCTTAGAGCGCCTTAAGAATTTTTCTGTAGTGCTTGTGTTTTGTCCTTGACACAAAATCAATAAATAGTGTGAAACGAAATCGCTTATCGTTGCCTGTTCCTGTGTATGCTTAGATCTTCAAAAGTACGCAATGGATTTTGATGTTTTTTTTAAGTAGATAGATATAACTTGCATAATATAATAGAGAAATACTGATGATTTTAGAGGTTTATAATGTGATGTCGTAAATAAACACATTTTTTTGCGCTTACATTGCAAACGCTGGATGATCCTCCCTACGAGGCAGAGTATATTTAAAAAGGTCTCCAAAAAGTTCGCAATGGAATATGTCTTTCTCTTAGGGGTAACCCACAATAACCATTTTTCATCCATTACTTTTTACGAGAAGTAATGACTTACGAACCGATTTTAAGCAATACAGCAACACTCCTTATCCAATTAAGTACCTTGAATATATTGTGGATGTAATTTAAATGAATAGTATCGAAGATATTACAGATTTAAAATGCAGAGACATAGCGCTTACGGCGGTACCGGCCTGGAGCCGGCGGCCCATGCCTATAAATAGCGCGTCGAAGGCCATGCTTCGTCCTATGCATGACCCCAGATTCCGAGAAAGGGACAAACACCCAAGGCCGACCAAACAGAACCAACGACCACTTTCACGAGTCGCCGTCCGAGAATTGGGTCGCCGTCAGGCGACTCAGGTTTGCAGAAAATAGTCACATAAACTCTCTTTCAGATAGGTTCAACGCAGAACAATTCGACGGCGTCCGCGATTCACTTTTCCTTAGATTCACTGAGGAATGCTCGACATTAGCAACAATAGCCGCCGGTTAGTTTTGGGGAGCCCCCATGCAAAAATTCAGTTAGGAATAGTCACGACAAAACAATTAACCGATCAGAAAGTATAAGCACCTAAAGGCTGACTTTCGACCAAAAGAGGTCAGATGTCAATCTTGCTGAAGTGCCCATCAGTAAGTTGAGGAACGCTCGGAGAGCGGGGGTGGGTGAAGTGGAGTACAAGTAAAATTGAACAAACAGTATTGTATTTTATTATACTATTATTTCATTTCAGGTTTTTTGCTTAATATAATTGTTTTTTTCCAGCTATTCATTTTCATTCTTCTTCTTTAATTTTCAATTCTTCTTTTTAAGTTATTTCAGGGATTTCAAACCATTTTATATAATATCAGACAATGGGAGTACGAAATAATGAAATTCATCATGAAACATTGTCAATAATCACCTTCAAACAAACTTTCTTTTTTAGTGAGTATCCCGATATTTCCTAATTTCTTTTCTCTAAAAATGCTGAAATTTGTTATCACGAAGAGAGCCATAGCTGCCTCCACATTTTGATCATTAATCTAATTTAAAGTACGTCCATTGAGGTAGATACCACTTCCATGATCAAGCATTGAGCATTTTAACGGTATGAGGATTGAATAGAAGTCTTGAATCAACTTTACCTTAATGTGCTGCAGAAAGAACACTTTTTCATGATGATTGATGTTTGCATATGCCTCTTCTGCTACATCAATTGTTTCAGAGTTCGATTGCGTAGCCAGGACAGCTAGACAAGCCCATGCAGTTTCATCATTTGTAGTACGGCATAGATTCAAGGCATCCGTCCATTTGTTCTCCCGGACATACCTAAAACTCATAATCATTTATAAATCCTAGTTATTACTTTCAATCCCTTGAATTTTTAGATTATTTTTTGTGTATCTGAATCGCGTTTACATGTCCCTCCAAGTATGTTTGTTTTCTACTAAAAATAAGCACAAATAACATAATTTACCAGGAGTTTTCTTGATTTTACCTAATATACACCAAATATTCAATTTGTAGATTGAAATAACAACTAGTTTCTTGCAGTCATTGAGAAATATTTCATTTTTGAAACTACAATTGATCACTTTCAAAATATATTGTTGATAGTTCAACATAATCTGAAGAATATGAAAATTGTGATGGGGTAGAAAGGGCAAACATTTGAGTCCACCCTGATAAGTTACTGCGTAAATTCAAAGTATTCGTCAAAAGGAATAAAATACCTATCAAAAAAGCCTATAAAAAAGAGTTGAGGAATAATACTCATCTTCCGGAGGATAAAATCTGCAAGATTCCTTGTTTTTTTTCAATGAACCTTTTTCCTGAAGTACGAAAAATCACACACTAGCAGCGATAGTAGTTCGGTAGGGATAAACACTGCATAATCCTCATATAAACATATGTTGAAGTACATTTGAAAAAGGAAGTTTTTAACAGAAGAAAACGTTCCTGGAGCAAAACTAAAATTTGCAACTGTAAAGGATTAACAATGTTGTAACATTAAAACTTTGTCTTGCATGCCGCAATTTAAAAGTAACTGGAAAAAAGGTGAATTAACAGACAGATTACTACCTATACAGACTCTAGTAAAAGAGTAGCGGTAGATTCAAACTGTAATAAAAGAAATTTAAAATAATTATGAATTTCAGATTTATTTCCGAGTGAAATATGAATCAAATATAGATGGCAATGACATAAATTAAATTAAATATAATAAACGAGTATAATTTAATGAACGATAGAGGTTATATATCATTCTAACCAATGGTAATTAACTATGAAAAATGTACTATTTATTTCATGTTAAGAGCATACATATGAATATTTATTTATTCTTTGAACTGTTAAATCCACTCTCCTCGAAGCATGTATCCATTTCTTACATCTAACCTTATTAATATGCGGTTTTATAAATAGTATAAACAACACGTTTTCTTCCGGATATCGATTATCCGACGTACAATTCGCAAAACAGCATTGCTTTATTGGCATTATACAAGCACAAAATAATTGTTTATATCAGATTTATATTTTTAAATAATAAATTAATATAACGTAAATAACACTGTTTTACATGTGAATAGTTTATATTTGTCCCTGCTACTAGTGCTGCCTTTCGTGACACGTTCGCTGTACTATTATCAGGAAAAAGGCTCATTCTGAAGACGAAGGTGGATTTTAGCCTCCGAAATGTTAAGATGAGTATCTCTATAATTTCTTGGCTCTTTTTTGACGTTACTGTTAAATGGAACATTTTTTGGTGAAAAATAGCGCGAATTCACGCAGTAACTTTTCTAGGTGAACAAAAACATTTGCCCTTTCTACAACTACATGAAGTTCTTTATTACAATTTTTATATTTTATAGGTTATGGACGGAGAAAAATCCGAAAAAGTTAGATATGATCAAACATTTAATTCTCTATGAAGAACCCATGATTCAATCATGGGACTCATATTCATCTTTTCCGTCCTTTTTTTGTGTGGTAACCATCACAATCGTCATTCTTTTGAGAATAGAAATGTTAGGAAATAACGCATTCTTGAATGTTTTTTTGCAAACTATTAGAAATAAATCATTACACTAATGATCAATAAATTAGAATATCGAATCATTTTGTGACTCATAATCTTTATTTGAGCACTATTGTTCGATATAACCAAAACGAAACTTGAAGGTTCAACTCTCTGAAATAAAAATGTATCCATAAACAACAATATACAATTAATGGCAAAGTGGCAAAGTTAAACAACAACGGTGAAAAAAAAATGCAAATTTTCATTGAATATCCCTAAGGATTATAATAATGAGCTATTTCGTGTTGAATTTGACTTTAAAACATAAACAAATTGATTTTGATGAAATTGGCAACTCTACATGAACCATTCGTTTTTTTTTGTTAGTTCATTCAGAGCACTTGTAAGCATAAGCAGCACTCATTTGGAGCAACTAAAAAAATGGGGTTAACTTGGCAAAATAATCAAATATAAAATAATGACTTACAGAAGTTATGTATTTTAGGCATCAGGATTGATTGAAAATTCATTGTGAAGTGTGGCAATATTTATATTCGATATCCCTTCTCCTCCCCTGAATTGAAGTATAGTGTTATTTGGCTGTACAAAGAGGAATAAAGGATTCTGCCAAAGAGTTACAGAAGAGGGTACAGTAGTAGTTATAATATAATAGTAAATCTGATATTGACATATTATAGATCCAATTCCACCAAAATCTTTTTTATGCAAAGTATTACCGACCTGAATACATATTGCCCAAAAAAAAGTTATCAGATCTGAAGTGAGTCAAACTCTTTACGTTAACGCATGTACAGTTGAAATTTGTGGCTTTAACGCTTCACAGGAATCACGTAAACACTCCCATGAACTTATGGTTAGATATCCATTCGTTATTCAACATCAGAACAAACCAAAAATCAATTTAACGAAGTTCGGGGCACAAAAATAGTAATCAGAAAATACATCGTTGGTTGAGAGAAGCTGGGTGGAAAGCTTGCAGAACAGCTAGTGGACCAAAGTTGCTTAGTTACTCAGCGATCACCAGGTGGCAAGATTAGTATTTGCCTGTCAGCATCTCATTTGGAAAGATGTCATTGGCAAAATGTTATGTTCACGGATGAATCACGAATTTGCACACATTCTTCACATGGTTGGAAGCTCGTTTGGAAGGGAACGGGTCGTCTCAGTTATAGAGAAGAATAGGTAACAGGATGGGCAGAAACTTCATCCTTACACAAGACAATGCGAGACTACATCCCACCAGTTTTGTCTCAGAACCTAACTGATGTTGGGTCTATCTGGGACTATCTTGGTAGACATGTGATAAGTCGCGAAAATCACCTACTAACAAAAATGAACTTCGTTAGCGCTCAAAGGGAAGTGAAATAACATTACCTAGGAGTAGTACTAGAATGGCCCATTCGCTATTTATGTTATCGTTTAATTGTTATTTTTTTCATAATCATTGTAAAGAATAAGAAATAAGCAGAGAAAACGCATTGCTTCATTCAATAATTAATAAATTTAGACGGAATCGTGATATCAAAATGATTGAAGAAGTAATGTTCAGGAAATGAGCTAGCTTTCATACAGGGTGGTTTTGAGCTTCATCCTAAAGGTGAACTTAGATGGTAGAAACATAAATTTGATTTTCCTTGTATAATGTGTATAAATCGGGTCCTATTAGGAAATCTGTTCATTGTGAATCAATATGGGATAAATTTCCTTCCATTCGTTTAAGATAATATTGAAATTGAAATGAAAATAACGTTATTCGAGATCAAAATTTGTAAACATTTCAAGGTGAGCATTTTCCACTGACCTTCCTCTAGATGTAGTCCAAATAACGGTTTCTAGTATTTCTAAAACCACAGTATACAGGGTGTTTCAAATTCGATCCTCCCCATTGGGGTATCGGAAACTATGAGAGATACGAAGATGGTTAAATTGGGGCAAAGTTGCGCATTTACCTGACTAACAATAAACCGTTAAAAAAGTTCTGAAATCCCGAGAATATCCGGAGATATCTGGAAAAAACAGAAATTTCGTAAAATTATTTTCATTTTTTTCTGGCTGTATTTTTCGAAGGATTCGAAAATAAATTGCACTTCCACGTTATCACTTCTTCCCTGATACATAATGGTGTTTTCAGGTTTGCTATCCGACGTTTTGTCTTCCGGCCACCATCAACAACTTTATTTTTTCTTATGGCCTCTACATTGGATTTTTTCTGCTTGGAGATATTGAAAAAAAAATAATTCTTATCATGCTAGGCTTTGACATTGATGTTTCTGAATTTGAGTTTCAATTTGTTACACTCAATGACATTTTGTTATTATACAAACCATTGAAATTTTGTCGAAAAATGGCCTTCACGAATGAAGAAAACAGAGATATGATACAAATTCATTACAAATACGATACATTGTTAGGACATCGGAACTGTATTCAAACTTATATTTCGAAAAACGACAACCACGTCGAATTATGTTCAAGTTTTTGGATCGAAATCTCACCATGTTGGGTTCGTTTGAAAAGCCAATGAAAAAATACGGAGACAGAGTCAAAAATTAAAATTTGATAAAAGAGGTGTGCATGAGGTCAATTAGACGACATTGTGTCCTTTTCAGTGAAAATAGAAATAGCTAACTAAAATGTAAAGGCAAAAGTAAATCACAGCAGACCTTGTTTATAATAACACAAATGTGCCCTTCTTCGAATATTATTCACTGCACGATTAATTTCCCTCCTCCTTAATCTTCCAAACTTCCTAACAATGCTGTGTGGAAGGTCCTCAACATTTTGATATTCCCTCTGACCATAAACTCTATTTTTCAGTATGCTCATAAGAATGTATCCATAACACTTGAGTCTGGAGACCTTGCTGGCAACCTCACTGGTCCATTATTCGCTATCCATTTATCACCAAAACTTTCAGTCAGGTAATTAGATACTCGTCTGGTAGTGAGTGGTGGAGCACCATCATGTTGAAACCAGATGTTTTTATAGTTAGCCAAAGGTAGATCATCCAAATAGTCTTCAAAAATCGACATTCAAAACTGGTGATAGGTTTCTTCATTCAGAATCTCGTCAAATAAATGGGGACCAAAATTCTATCTTTGTAAATTATTGAGATATGTGTATTCTGTAATATTTTAAACCACTTTTTTCGAGATGTCTCCAAGCACCTGTATGACAAATATTCATTTCGGAGGAAATTTGGTGTGTAGATTTCCCTGGGTTAATGTTTATCTGCAAATTATTAATTTTTATTGAAACGGACACAATGTCTAACTTACCTTATACATACCTCATTTATTAAATTTTCTTTAGTTTCCTGGTCCATTCTGTCTTCGTTTTTTCCCTCGGCTTTTCAAATGAACCAAAGTGGGTGAGATTTTGATCCAATAACTTGAACATAGTTCGATGTAATTGTCGTCTTTCAGGATACAAGTTTCAAATACATTTCCGATGTCCTAACACTGTTTCTATCATACCTCTTTTTTCTTCATTCATGAAAGCTATTTTTCGCCAAAAATTAAATGACTTGTACAATAAAAAAAATGTCATTGAGTGTAACAAATTGGAAGTCAAATTAAGAATCATCAAAGTAAAAGCCTATTATGATAAGAATCAATTTTTTTTCAATATCTCCAAATAAAAAAAATGATAACTGATGANAAAGTAAAAGCCTAGTATGATAAGAATCATTTTTTTTTCAATATCTCCAATTAAAAAAAAATGGTAACTGATGAAATATCATTGAAAAAGTAAAATATGGTTGTGATCAAAACAGAAAGAATCTAATGTAGCGACTATAAGAAAAAATAAAGTTGATGATGATGGCCGGAAGCAGGTAAGCAGGAAAAAAGTGGCAATGTGGAAGTGCAATTTATTTTCGAATCCTTCGAAATATAAAGCCGGAAAAATATCCGAATATATCCGGATATCTCCGGATATTTCAGAACTTTCTCAAGGGCCTATTGTTAGTCAGGTAATGGCCCAACTTTGCCCCAATTTAACCATCTTCCTATCTCTCATAGTTTCCGAGATTCCAATGGTGAGGATAGAATTTGAAACACCATGTACTCACTTTCGTAGATTTTGGGCAGAATAACTTCGGATGTCTCTTGCAAGAGCAAAAGTTTGAAATAGAAGATTAATTGAATTTTCTGAATTGGCCGGAATCTCTTGTCTCACCTGTGAATTAATGTGGGAAAAGGCGAAATAGGAATGTTCAAAAGCGATCCATCGGCTCTCCTTACAGATACCGAGTTTCCGACAAAATCGTGAATTCTAGGAGTGCGACCCAACTCTGGAGAATCGTACTGCATTGAACAAAGTTTCAACAATTTCACATTGTAGCAGGCTGTTGGACAGTACCAGACGATCAACTGCGTGTCTTGAATGGCAGCTATGATGTTTTCATTGGCGTTCCATTGGAAAGATTCAATTTTTCTACCTACAAATAAATCGAACTGACATTAAAACTATATTTTTATGAACAGTTTTCATAAAATAAGTCATGAAAGCAACAAAATGCTCGTTTCTAACTAAGTATGAAATGATTTAATTTATATTAAATACAATTTTGAAGAACTAAGGGATCTGAATTTGAAAGAAAATCATTATACTCCTTCGGAATAATAACAGTATATCTTCTGGAAAATATTCATATTTTTTCAAAATTTCGTTTCAATTAAAACATTTGTTTGCCAATAATGTTGATAGTTATCACTATATTATTCTCACTCTATAAACAGTGTTTTTACATGAAATCAGTAAATGTTGAAAATATATAATAAAATAATGGGAGATGATATGATATAATAAATGAATCCAGGTAGCATTTCAAGAGTTTTTTTGTTAACTTCATATTGAAAATTGGAATACGCTATATAAAGAAAAAGAAGTTGACAGGATAGCGTATAATATGCTATACGCTATCCTGTACCTACTTATCAAATAGCGAAGTGTTTACTTATATTGAAATAATATTCACTTGTAAAGAATATTCTGAGAGAAATATCTAATTTCGCAAAATGAAACAACCTGAAGAAGCAATCAAAAATATTTCCTATTTTCAACAGTATATTCAGTTTCGAATATTTTGCAAACTAAGGGGGAAAATAATTTGTTTTGGGTTCGTGTTTGAAATCAGGTTTACCGGCACTCAAATCCATCGTTCAAACAACTACGCCAACAAGAAGTTCATGAAAAGGTGTAACATAAGGCTATTTGAGTTTTTGTGTTTATGTTTTCCATTTCTGGGAACATTACATCCCTACTTCCTCCTTACTATACCTACTGATATTATGAATGCGAATGTAAGTTTGTTTGTTACGGTTTCACGCGAAAACTACTGAACCGATCATCATGAAATTTTGTACACATGTTCTAGGAGGTATTAGAAGTAACATAGGTGCATGATCTACACATCCATGTATAGAGTTACTTATTTTCAAATTGATTACTTCCTTCCTTTCTTTGGAAGATTCCCTCATCTTTTTTTGTATCAACATTTCATTACGTTTTCAACTTTGTAAGAGTGAAGTCAGAATAAATCTTGTCTTGTCTACCGTATATCTTGCCAGTTATTTTTCTTATTCTATCTTTTCACAAGAGTTAATGTAATTCTTGTGTGCATTGAGCATTCGTACTCACGATAAAATAATCGTGGGTCAAAACACATTGCGACAAGTTTGTGCTAAGAATGAATTAGAAAAAAGGTGTTTTCCATTGCTAACTATTTTTCAAATTTAACACTTAACGTGTTTACATTTATAGTCTCTGAGTCATGGGAGCTATTAACTAAAATGATATCTATTCATTCAAGCTTGCGTGTAGCTCTATCATCTATAATTTCTAAACCATATATCTACCTAGTTTGAGGAACATCTTATTGTTGTTTCTGGCATGTATTAGATACATATCTCTTGTTTTGTCCAGAATTGCTAGTTTTCTACCCGATGCTTCTCCCCACTGGTCCAAAGAGATTTGAACTATTTGCATGGAATGTTGAATTGCGGTGGTCTCCGCAGACGATCGGTTATTTGATATATCAATAATATGTATAGCTAAAAAACAAAATCAATTTCAAATTCCTGTTCCAGAGTGTATTTAACCTACTTTTGACATCGGAAGTATCTCTGATTGCCAGAGTATCAGGGGATAGAGTTACGTGTGAGTTTCTCAAATAATCCAGTCTCATACTCGGCCATCTTGGAGATGCTATCAAACGACCTTGATAGTTATAGATTCCCACGCTGCTTTTTTCAACCAATAACATGTGCCTGTGGAAAACAAGATGTTAATGAAGTTGAGGTTTTCCTGTTGTTTAACTATTTGTAAAAAAATCTCAAAATCTTGCTACTTTAGCGTCATCTAGCATTCCAATAATGAAGTTCCAACCCTTAGTACCGTAATACCATTGCACTGTATTATTCACAGTCACGACAATATCCAATCCAATCCAATCCAATTGACTATAGTTTCAGATGTTTAGAATTTTTCTATATTTATTGTTATTTTCTTCTGTTACCCGCAAGCGAAGCCGCGGGTAAAAGCTAATGTTTATATAAATGAATATTTATTAAATGTGAACAACTTAAAAATAAGAACTAACGATAAGTGACAAGTTTTTTATGCTGAACGGTTTTATTGAAAAACATATTCTTGATTTTCAGTATCGATATACTTTTTTTTACTTCTGGAGAAATTGGGTTGAACATAGAAATTACGTCGAGTTAAATTGACTTTTTTCTGAAGTTAGATTTATTATTTCTCATATAAGTATGAGAAAGTAATTTACTCTGTCTCGTAAAATGATTATGAATTGTTTCATTCAAAATTATGGCTCTTGATATTTCAATTTCATTTCTAATAGAATGAATAAAACATCGAATATTGAGTTTATAATGTAGGTATCTGATATCTAATGAATTATTTGGTTTATATAGATTTATTATTGATTGTAAATAGGGTGGTATATATACTCGAAAACATTAATTTGAATAGTTATTAGATAAGGAAGATGTGAAATAATTACAGTGAAATATATTTTTCAAAAACTTCAGAGGTGTAATATTCCTAATTTCGAAGAAAATACTATGTAGATAGTTTTCTAACGTGCTTTATATATTTACTTCATGCAGATTATCACAATTTTTTTCAGAATCGAAATCAGTATATAGTAACAATTGTAGAAGTGATAAGAACATTAGTAGTGTTCCACAAGTTTCAAGGATGAGTAATTTCAAGAACAGAATTAATCAGACGAAACTATTGTATCTCAGGTTTGTTTAAAATGAATTGAATTTTGTTTCATTTTATGATGGGAGATTCACTTTGAAATGAATGATAATGGATTTTAGAGTTAAGATACTCACTGACAAAGATTGGTATTCGTTATACATTGTGTTCGGTCTGAAAATTTCGTTATCGAAACTATGGGTCGTTTCTAATCCACTTATCCTCTTGAAATTCATTATTCCCTAAGGTATTTACCTAAGCAACCCGTATATTTATGCTTTTTTCATGTAAATATTGTAAGCTACAAATAGGTAGATTTTCAATTCCTTAATTGTTCCTTGTGTCCCTTATCTTTGGAGTTACCCGCTATTATGACCTTTCCTACTTATGTTAATCCAAGCCTTCCCACAATGACCAAGTTGAACCCCTTCTCCGACTGCCGATGTGAAACATTGCATTTTGTAAAATCATTTCATTACTTGAATTGAAGGGGTTATATTTTTAGGAGTGATAAATTTTTGGGAAAGAAAGTTTTTGGCTTTCTACTACTCCATCTTCATTCAAAAAAAAAAGAGGGAATCTTAAGGCGAAACATCGATGTATACCAGTGAGGATGACAGTGTTCTATGTAAGTGCAATTTGTTACCATTCATTTAAAGTAGAACTCATGTGAATGATATCTGATTTTTGTTCCACAACGAATGTTTGAAATACAAACTGAATAGAGAAAAGTATCTTCTGTATAATTCAGTGTTCATATATAAGTATTTGTTTCGAAAGAATTGTTTTTTTCGTGTAGTTCAATGTTTATATGAAAGTAACTGTTTCAGGAGGACATTCTTTCACTTTGTGTCTGAAAGTTACTTCTTTGCATGATCTACACATCCATGTATAGAGTTACTTATTTTCAAATTGATTACTTCCTTCCTTTCTTTGGAAGATTCCCTCATCTTTTTTTGTATCAACATTTCATTACGTTTTCAACTTTGTAAGAGTGAAGTCAGAATAAATCTTGTCTTGTCTACCGTATATCTTGCCAGTTATTTTTCTTATTCTATCTTTTCACAAGAGTTAATGTAATTCTTGTGTGCATTGAGCATTCGTACTCACGATAAAATAATCGTGGGTCAAAACACATTGCGACAAGTTTGTGCTAAGAATGAATTAGAAAAAAGGTGTTTTCCATTGCTAACTATTTTTCAAATTTAACACTTAACGTGTTTACATTTATAGTCTCTGAGTCATGGGAGCTATTAACTAAAATGATATCTATTCATTCAAGCTTGCGTGTAGCTCTATCATCTATAATTTCTAAACCATATATCTACCTAGTTTGAGGAACATCTTATTGTTGTTTCTGGCATGTATTAGATACATATCTCTTGTTTTGTCCAGAATTGCTAGTTTTCTACCCGATGCTTCTCCCCACTGGTCCAAAGAGATTTGAACTATTTGCATGGAATGTTGAATTGCGGTGGTCTCCGCAGACGATCGGTTATTTGATATATCAATAATATGTATAGCTAAAAAACAAAATCAATTTCAAATTCCTGTTCCAGAGTGTATTTAACCTACTTTTGACATCGGAAGTATCTCTGATTGCCAGAGTATCAGGGGATAGAGTTACGTGTGAGTTTCTCAAATAATCCAGTCTCATACTCGGCCATCTTGGAGATGCTATCAAACGACCTTGATAGTTATAGATTCCCACGCTGCTTTTTTCAACCAATAACATGTGCCTGTGGAAAACAAGATGTTAATGAAGTTGAGGTTTTCCTGTTGTTTAACATAAACAACAGGAGATTTACCTTATATATTCGAAATAGTTGAAGCGACAGTTCGAACTATCGTAGAACTATAGCAGGTGTTTTGTACAAAGTTTCCAATCAGCAAATTGACCAGATAAATAGTCACCTAACACAACTTGCAGTCATTGCATTTATTACAAAATAAGTTTCCTTATTTTTTATTGAGTCAGCCAATAAAAATTCATAAACGATGTACCTGGCAGATAAAGATTATGTAACCTTTATAGAATTACATAAGATATTATCATGCAATGAGAAAGTCGAACAGCAGCCAAGTTTTCGTCTTTAGGAGATGAAGTAGACTAATTCCTTACTCTAAAACTGGTCTCTATTGATGTGAAACATCTATAACCGCACGTAAAACCGATTGCTGGCCTGGCGACCGGTCGCCACGTTATATGATACTGTAAGAATGAATCACCAGATGAGGAATATTTTGTCGAGCCGCCGCCGGTCATGGGAAGCTACGACGATATTGTGAGGTTTTTGTTTTTGGGGTGATTCAATGGAATATTATGCATTATGAAGAATATGCATTCATTATGTGTTTCTCCGTGCTCCGATATAGAATCCGCTCATGTTCACTCGTTGTATGTGAATAGGAATAGTATGTGTTATTCAAAATGCGACCAGTGTTTGTTTCTATCATCAGAAGTGGGATTGTGCCTAACGCTCACAGTGAACTCACGAATTCTGTTGTTTAAACATTGAAAAACATTATTGTGTTACGGTTCTTTATGCAAACAGAAAATACTTTGCTAGGATTCTCTTTTTGTTTTGCTGTTTGTGGATAATTGTAGAAATGACTTTCAAGGAGGGAGATTCGACTCGAACACTTTTAGCTGAATTGGTTGAAGCTTTGACGTCACAGCGATCTGGTGAATATTTGCCCCATTTTAGACCTGAAAATAAATAATCCAGCAAATGGATGACTCAAGTAGGAGCTATTAAAATCGAAATAGACTGATCTGATGTTCAAATATTGGTCGATCTTTACTAAACGAGGCAAAAAGATGAATTGAACGTTGGAACCCTTATAACTTCATCAAAGCTTTTCCACCAAAAAGAAAACTTGGTCGTATATTAGAAGATGCACTTACATTCTCAAGTGTTTCCGTAAACACTTATGAATCGTATGTACACGAAAAATCAGCAATGTTAAAGAGTGTACGCACAAAATGGTGGGAGATTGACTAAGTAGAATCAATCGTTAATGGAATATCTGAACCTGAATAACTGAATGCCGCCATGAATGCTGCCTTACTATTTCTGAGTGTTTTTGTCTTCTTTTGTAAAACCTCCTCATAGCAATGAGGTACAAGAAAAAATGCTGGACGCTACATTTTTTCACTTAAGAGAAAATACCCTTTTCCTGACAGAAAAATGAGTGGATCTGCTAGAGGGTCTCTGAAATATTACCAATATGGTAAGATGGGACATGTGAAGGCAAATTGTCGTGCTAAAAATCCAAAACCATCATATGACAACCAAAATTTCTTTACCAGTCAACATGAAGTTCCGAGTTCATCACAAAGTTACAAAACTTATAGTTTTTGCAGTCTTTAGGCTGTTATCGATGGTCACCAGTCCTGGGCGTTGATTGATACAGGAGCTGATTCATCGCTGATTTCTGATACATTTTTACATTTCTTTGAAAGAGAAGTTATTCCATGTAGTATAATCTCAAAGGACCTCACGAATGTCACCATTGAGGCTACTAAAAAATTCACAGGTTACACAAACATTTCTGGTATTGGTTTTCCAGTTAGTTATATCTTCATTGCCGATGATTATCTTGATCAAGGTATTCTAATTGGACACAATACTTTTGAAGATCAAAGCCTTATAACCAGGATCCCGTATCATACCTCGCAAGTTACCAGGCATTCAATAAAATTTTTGAAGGATTTAGTTCTGAGTTGTCTGAAGTCGATGTTCCTGCTGAGTTCTGCAGTGATCTACTAGTGATTTTTCGAAATTTCGCCAGAATGATTATAACTGGAAATAAAGTAGGAGTTGTCAATAATACGAGCCTGAAAAAACGCTTAGAGAAAGACATTATTGTCTCGTACTTCCTATCATCTGGAAATCAATGAAAGGGTGGCAGTTCGAGAAATAACATAAGATTTGATGAGGAATAACATTATGAAATCAAATGAATCACCGTCTTGTGCTTTCGAATGTGTGTAGATTTTCTCGAACATAACCGCTTCACAATTGAAGGTCGCTTTCCTCTGCCACTCATCGACTACCAATTGAACAGACTGGACAAGGGACGTTACTTCACATCTTTGGATATGGCTTCCGGCTTCCATCGGATACCGATCGAGGATTCATTCATAAGAATGCATTCGTCACGCCGCGCGGACGGCCACTTTGATTATCTGCAGATGCCGTTCGGGCTTGCAAATGCACCGGCTGTATTTCAGAGAGCGTTTAACTTTATCCTCGATAATCTGAAGGATTCAATTGCCCTAGTTTATCTCGACGACATTTTGATCCCTAGTGTGACTCCGGAAGAGAAGTACGATAATCTTCGGCGTGTACTAGAGGCACTTTCTACGGCAGATTTTTCTTTAAATATTGAGAAATGCCGTTTTCTTCAATCCCTGGAATACCTTGGAAGAGAAGTTTCAGGTGAAGGCATAACAATCAAAAAATGGAAGGCAGGGAAATGCTGAGGTCTTTTCCTGATTTGATCCATACAATTTTCCTTTGCAATTCAAGAATTGATTTTGCTTTATGGATTCTTCATCAAGTGAAAGAGGTGTCGGGAGCGTCGTTCTTGTTAGGAAGGCCGTGTAAGAATTAATCAACTGAAGAATATTTTACCGAACCGCCGTCGGTCAGGGAAAGCTATCGTCGAATCATAATTGCGATATCGAGAGGTTTTTGGAATGATTCAATGGAATATGTGTTTTTCCGTGCTCAGAGACAGAAGCCACTCATGTTTACTCGTTGTATGTAATTTAGTTTATGTGAAGAGGGGATAAAAGTACGACCAGTGTTTGTTTCTATCAAAAGATTCTCTTTCTACTGGTTCGGCTTTACACTATCTCTCTCGTCACTATAATGAATTTCAACTGATCAGTAATCAGGAAATATATAAGTATTACTCATTACAAGCTCATTACTGATTTTTGTCATAAATAATACCTTTTAATCGTACTAGTATTGTGTATTATCTATAATTTGCCACAACCTACAACTCTACTGCTTACTATATTTTGATTCTGCTATAAACTGGTAACGTATTTGTACGTGGAGTGTTGAGATAAAATGTGACACTATTCCTAGATGACCGTCTAGGAGTGACACTATTCCTACCTTCAATAAAAAAGAAATGAATTTACGCCCTACCTCGAGACTACAAAAATTGTGAGTTTCAAGCAATTCATAATAGGGTATTCCTACAGTAGGATACGTGCCTTTAAGTTTAAAAGACATATATTTTAGGAAGCGCCTCTGTAGGGCTTCTAGTCGATTTATATGAACCTGATAGTAGGGACTCCACACGATAGATGCATATTCCAGCCTAGATCGAACAAAAGCGAAATAAAGTAATTTCAATGTTGAAGCTTTTTCGAAGTCTTTTGTATTTCTAACTAAGAATCCAAACATGCGATAAGCTGCTGTTAGAGTATTGTCAATATGTTTATTGAAAGAGAGGGATGAATCAAAAGTAACACCTAGATCAGTGAGTGTGTCAGGACGCTCCAGAACTTGATTGTTTATGACGTAGTTATGTAAATTCAGTTTAGTTTTCAGTGAGTAGGACATTATGAGTCATGAATTACGTATGAGAGGAGAATGATGAAGCGAAAATATTGTTCAAATTGATGAAAAATAACAGTACTATAATTTGAGATAATGAGTATACTCTGTAGAATTAGCTATTAACGGTACAATCGATAGCTTACGATCTTTAATTCTGGACTTTGAGGATTCAATAGAAGATTCATTGTTTGAAGGTGGTTGACAATGTTTTATGGTGAATTTCATTAGTTCGGACTTCTATTATCTAACATGATATATAATGATTTGAAATCTTCATTTATTTTTTGTTTCATTGTTCAATTTTCAATTTTTCTGCTTGTAGAAATTTTATTGTAATATTGTTCACTGATTTGAGAAAGTGATTTCTGTAAATTATTTTTTAATCAAAAATGAATTTCTGTAAACTTTTGTGGGGAATTTTTGACGGTAGAGAATCCAATATTTCTTCTCTAGCTTCCGAAGGTACTATTATTGATGAGGAAAATCATATTAAGCCCATGAGTGATTTGAATGATGATGAGTTAAGTTCAGTTCATGATATTATTTCGAATTTTACAACACTCGTGAAACACCGGTGAACAAACAAAATACTCTGTCACGTCGATACAGGCGATGCTCGTGCTGTTGAATAGCGACAATATTTTATGTCACCTTAGATGTTGGAATATTTGAATAAGAAGTTGGATAAGCTGTTGAAATTGAATGTAGTCGAACCGTCTTGTATCGAATGGTCATCTTCCGTATTATTAGTGAAAAAAGCTAATAGAGACTTCAGGTTTTGGGATAGTCGCAAATAATGCACTGACAAAAATGACGGCTAACCACTACCAGTAATAGATCGTATAGTGGGAAATGCGCGTTTGATATCTTCAATAGATCAGAAATCAGCTTTTTGGCATATTGCACTCGACCAGGAATCTGAAGGGAAAATTGCTTTTTTAGTTTCGTGAAGAGGGTTATTACATTATGATGATGTTCCTCGGTCTCGACAAGCTTACACATCAGCTGTAGCCAGACATGCTCTCATCAAAGAAGGCACTCACATTATATCATTCGAAGATACAGTAATACTCGATACAACTCAAAATTATTATCCAAGAGTATATAGAGAGGCAATAGAAATTCAAAAACAGAGGGACCATTTCAATAGAGAAATGGCATTGAACAATAATGATATCTGGCTACCTGACCATAAAGGTACACAAACAAGCCCAGGTAATCCAATGGGAGAAACCAAGACACGTCCACCAAACCAGACCATAGTCAAATACCAGCATCGTGCTAACCGCGTTCAGAACGGCAATAACTCGAGCACCAACTCGGGCACCGTGACCTTCGCTACTACTGCAGTAGTAGACGGAACGTCAGACATAAGAAAACCTACAGACCACGGCAAAAATGCAGCAAGGACTAATGGACGCAACTTATGGACCAGAACTAGAACCTTTCGTTTTCGTTTACATCGATGACCTCATAATCATCTCAGAAACTCACTCACTCATAAAAGTGTCACCTCGTTTGGAAGAATGTAATTCAACGAATAATTTGAAGAAATGTGAATTTTTTAAGCCATCTTGAAAATATTGTAATGAATCTGAAGCCGCCCCTGACCGATATGCCGGCCAGCGAAAGAATGCAGTCGGCAACCGCCGGTAAAACTCTAGTCGAGTATCGAACCGACTACACATTTCTAGAAACAACCGTTTCACTATATAAACCCGGCTTCCCGCCCCAAGAAGGCAGTTCAGAAAGTGAATTGAGCGGTTAAACAAGAAATTCAAATAGTGGAAATGAATTAAGCGTTAGTTGGTAGGCGTTGTAAATAAATTAGTTTGTGATAGTGAAATATTGTTGGAAATGAATTTGTTAAGGACAGTTAATTTATTAATTTGTTGCAATATTTAGGGTATGTAGTGGACAGATTAGGACTTGGAAACAATCCTAATAACATTTCGGCTATAGTGAATTTTCCGGTACCGAGAAATACTATGGAAACCAAAAAATTCGTTGGTATGTGTGGGTGGTACCGTCGTTTTATTCATCAAATTTTTCATCTATCATAACTCCCATCAATCAACTTTCACGTAGCAAAAAAGAAAGTCCAGATTGAAACTCATATGAATTTGTACTTTAATTATTTTGCGAAATTCTATTGCAGCTGCAGCGGCGTCGAATTATTTCATTTGTTACATTACCGGCTTCACATAATTTTTGAAAAAAAACTATAACTGCTATCATATCTATCATATTTTTGAGGTCTTGGCTAAAATAACTAATAAATAACTTTCAGACCAATGCAATTTTTTTATTTCTCAATTTCAGCGAAATCAAATCAAGTGGCGCCCCATCCAAAAACCGTTGTTCCACAAAATTAAAAAACTACGACCACTGTTCTCCCAATATATTGACTGCCGTTAGCAAATTGCTACTCTATTTTTGTGCCTCTATTATTTTCCATTTAATCTGATTTTACCAACTATATTATTTGAGACGATTTTTATTTTTTATCTACAGTCACTCGAATGAGATTACGAGGAAATGCATTCATGAATTGAATAGTCACATGGTTCAGAGAAGTAATAGTAGTATATCCCCTATTTCAAATGTAAAATGCCAATGAATCTGTTTTGGTCAGATAACACAAATCTTCTTTTTTGCTAATTTGAGTAATTATTGCTATTTCTGATTTCTGGAGAAAAATACCATATCTGAATGAGTTCTTTGAGTAGCAAATACAACAGAGTGTATACTATTTGTATTGAATCATTGTCTGTAATAGGTTTCAACAACATGTTTGTTACAGTGCAACTGAACAGAAGGGTTTTTAAATTTTTAAGTAAAATAAAGTTCATTCTACTGATAGACTACATTTGGTGGATTTCTATCAAAAGATGTTTTATATGATGTGTATTTGCCAAGTATCTCGTTATGAGTACTCAACAAATTATTATAGTGTTTTGACGTTTATTATAAATTTTTGTACATTCTGGATTTATTGTTGGAAAATTCAGCCATTCATTCACTATGTATTTGTGATTTACTCTTTAATTCATTTCTATTTATTTTTTCCTTCAATGAACTTTTTTAGAGGAAAGCATTCCTGGAACAAATCACATAGTACATCACTGAAGTGGTTCCATTACTCAATAACTACAGTAATTTCAATTTGATATAATTTCGACTCGTTCAAATATTTTAATTCACTTAAAACACATTTTTGGTATTGATTCAGTTCAAAAGCTAATGTTCTTTATATTGTGACCTGAAAGAAAACAGTAAATAACTTCTGTTCCGTTGATGTTTCATATGATTTGGAATGAAGTTTTCTAGATATAATGTAATTTCAGAATAGTTTTCTGCTTAACTTCTACACAACTTCCTCCTTTGCAAGTTTTATAGAACTGTGGAAGACATATTATTTGTTATTTTTGTCAAGTCGATGACATTATAAGAATTATATAAACTAACTAAATAATGAAATAAAAAAACTCTTACTCTTCACATAGCAATAGTAGAATCACAGAACCGTCCTTCAGGTCGAATATAGCAGGAGTATTCCAGTTTCGTGTGTTATAAATATAACATTGACTGGGCGTCGTTAGCACCAAATGGTTGTACCGCAGTGCCATTTGAATTACTCTTTCTGGTAGCTCTAGGTGTTCGTTAGTTTCATCTAGGACGTTTTGAACAGTGACAATCTTCTTTTCGCTCACTACTGCCGTAAAGTTCATGAACTGAACGTCCCTTTCTACCACATGGGCAAATAAAACTTGTCCATTTGCGCATGCTCCTGCTAGTTGGGTTCCATCTGCAGACCAAGCCATTTTATATATGCAGCCTGTGTTGGGTTTCTCTAATGATCTTGACCACTGTGAGTGAAATAAAAAAATATCAAGTAGTGCATTTATGATCCAGCAATTAGGACATCGTTGAGTAATTTTCAGCATTGTATTTCATATGAAGAATATTAGGACATTACATGATGAGAATATAAGTTGAAGTATCCTTATTATTTCGACAAATAATAACACTGATTTTGGTGTGTTTCAAGAATTTCCAGGTACTCATCAAACCATTGTTTCCCAGGAAAAACATCCACGATTGCCATCACCACCAGCATATTCTTTCCAAATCCTTTTTCGAAGAAGAGATAGGGATTTTATATGTATTCGAAATGAGAGTGAGTTCTTTATATTCCGGCTTGATTAGAGAAACATTTTATAAAATGAAGTGAATTGTGCACTAAATTAGAAACCTATGAAAACTGTGGTTGTTGACCGAATCTCGGTCAGTAGTTCCAAAAGGTTGTAATTATAAAGTTTTTGTGCCATTGGTGAGTATCAGCTCACTCAAGAAACGAAACGTAGTTATGGAATTGAATTAGCTTTTCTCGCGCAGTTGTGTTGGAAGGAAAATTGAAAGTGATCATTTTCTCTTAATTTTCTCATAATTTCAACATGACTGGTTTATAGGATATACTTAGTTGTTGAGATTTTTTTAGATCTCAGTTAGGTAATTTTTTTTGGTAATTGACATGAAATTCGTGAAGTACAAAACTTGAGTCTTTTTGAAGCTGGCGAATGAACAAGATCACATCGATCAAGGAAATAGGCAACAGCTACAATATTCGTAGTATTCTTATGTTTATATCGATATCTGCCTCATCTCTCCTCTTTATTTGAATAAAACTCTGTACAATCTTGTATGCTATTGACAAATTTGTATTTTTTATTTGTATTGTAACATGTTATTTCTGCTGTCAATTATTCCATTTATTATTATCAGTATACTCTGGGTTGTGAATTGTGCCCCCTCCAAATCATTTTGTGGATCCGCCACTGCTAGGAATGTAATAGACAAATAAATACTATCTTTATATTGAACAAACGTAATATTTGTGAATAATTGGGCTTTTTTTTGCTATTACCACCTTACAGAATCTCAATCTGATCATATATATAAAAATGGATGTTTGCTGGTTGGTTGGTTGGTAAGTGATGAACTTCTACATCGCTCAACCGATCGTGATGAAATTTGACATGTATAATTAATTTTTCATAGAGAAGGTTTTTAGGCTATCAATTTTTCTGTAACTCGCCACTAGATGGCGCTGTAGAACAATTTTTTGAAAGCACTGTTCTATAACGCTGCGCACGCCTAAGTTCGTTGATTCTGATTCTGTCAAAACATTGGAACAGCAG